ATAGTACAATATAGTAATATATAATACTGATATTGCACTATGCTAATAATATAATATATTGTATGTATATATCTTGTAAACCGTTCTGAGTCCCCTTCGGAGTGAGAAGGGTGACATATAAATGTCATAAATTAATAAATAAGCACAACATTGGAAGAATGCTGATCTTCCAACAATAAAAGAATAGATTTTTGAAGTTTTTAAAATAGCAAAAATTATGTAATTATGAACAAAGAAAAAATACACACAAAAAACTTCATCAAAGACTGGGAGTCTTTCCTAAATTTTGGGGGCAGGGGGAAAGAGGAAAGAAAGAGGTGAAAGTTTTTAGAAGGCTTCATAATGTATTCTGTTAGAATATTTGTAGGGAATCTATAAATACATATTAGGCCAGAAGGAGGAATAGAAAAAAAATGTAATAGGAAGGAAGAACAGAACTATTTATGAATGTCTCCAACCCAAAGGACAGGAAGTCTACTCCGGAAGGAGTGGGAGGAGGGAAAGGCATAGTTAAATACAATTATTTTATAGATGTTAGGTAGTATTGTACTGGTTCATGTATATATACATCTATAAAGATTTGCTTAATTGTTTTTTATGAATATATATATATATATATATATATATATCTTAAAAAGTGGGGGCAGGGAAGAAGCTGAAATTTGTTTTTAAGGGTACAAATGGCTTCACATTATAGAATAGGAAGAATCTTCTGAAGCAAATGAAATAATGAAGTATTAAATTGTCCTCCTATTGTGGTTGCTGAAAATCTGTTTTCTGATGTAGGGTCTGATGTTTGGCTATGCGACGGATGAGACAGAAGAATGCATGCCTCTGACCATTATGCTTGCTCATAAACTGAATGCCAAAATGGCTGAGCTGAGGCGCAATGGGGTCCTTCCTTGGCTTAGACCCGATTCCAAAACCCAGGTATGCCTTAGGGTTTTTGCCAGTTTCTTCCTTTCTTTGTAATTGAACTAAGACATGTGACCATTTTGGATGCCGCAGAGCAAGACAGAAATCTGTTTCTGTACTAGAGTTGAGAGATTCAATTACTGATTAGTCAGAGAAGACTTGGCAGGCTAATGTGGCCCTCTGACAGCAGCAAAGGCTGTTTTCTTTAGATCTATAGGAAGTCAACATTACACACCCGTCACTAAAAAACTAAGACCCTTTGCCCTACAATTCTCTGTAGTTAGTGTAGCCAGTTAGGCTACAAGTCATAGCTCTTGCTACTGGCAGACACTTAGGCTTCTACACTGCCCTATATTTCAGGATCTGATCCCTTATTATTTGCTTTAAAATGGATTATCATCATCATCATCATCATCATCATCATCATCATCTTTAATTACTTATTAATCACCCTCCATCCGAGATGCTCGAGGCAATTTACATTGCAGAAATTATACAGGATAAAACACATACATGCAAATATAAAAATTAACATGGATCTCCACTGCCAGATAATCTGGGATAAAAAAAAATCTGGCATCAGATCCTGGTATAAAGGGGCAGTGTAGAAGGGGCCAAAATCATCACAAGGGTCCAGTTGAAATTCCCTTCTTGTCTTCTGCTCAGGTTGAAGGGAGAGAGAGCTTGTGTTTGATTTATGGTTGCCTCAATTGCAACAGCTCTAATCCTAGAGATTCATGAAAAGGGAGTTCAAAGGCTATAGTCATCTCATCTCTATCCTAGTAGATGCTCTCAAGATTGGAAAAGTTGCTTTGTGTTATTTGTGATAACAGTAGTCTTTAAGGTGACTTGATTGCTACATATGGGTCTCCAGAAATTGCTGATGTCATATTCACTCATGTCATTCAACTATGACATCCCTGGTACAATCACATAGCATATAGACAAAAGGGGGGACAGGGACAATCCAGGCAGAAAACTGGAAGGTGACATTAGCTGGCCATAAAGATCTATTTCTCTGATGTGTGGGAAAGGACAGGCATCAGATAATTTCTGTGATTTTTGACTTCGTAGGTAAAGCCTCATATGTAGAGCATGACTCATGTATTCTGAACATTAAAGAAGTTTGGTATCCTAGCTCCTGTGCATCTTGGAGAATTCTTCTAAGAGAAGGCTAACTTTAAAGCAAGGCAGCCAATGCATAAAGAGAACTTTTAAGGACTTAATTAATCTCTGATCATCTCTAGATTATATGTTCCATGTTATTCAAAAGCCTATGTCTTTCCATATGAGCTCGCTCTTATAGTCTTCTGGGGAAGGCTTTCTCTCCATCACATTACCTTCCCCAACTTCACTGGTGAGAACATGGAAGAAGGTTCTCTTGGTGGCTGCTTCTAGGCTATGGAAGACCTGTTGTCTTTTGGCTCACAGACAAAATACAGGATTACTTTAAAATTGTTGTATGAATTCAGGAATATGGCATTATTTATATCAGATGGATATTAGTGGATAGTTGTCTAGTCTTTTCTTTCTTTCACTTTTCTTCTTTATGCCACTTCTCCATTCACTTCCAGATCACAGTTCAGTATGTCAAAAAAGATGGCGTTGCTATCCCACTGCGTGTTCACACCATTGTCATCTCGGCGCAGCACGATGAAACCATTTCTCTGGATGAAATGCGCAAGGCCCTGAGAGAGCACATTATCAAGGCCGTTGTTCCACCCAGATACTTGGATGACAAAACAGTTTACCACCTTCAGCCCAGTGGCCGGTTTGTTATTGGTGGCCCCCAGGTTTGTATCTATTTATTTGAATCTAGGATTAGATAGTAGGATGACTGCCATTGACCTTCTCATTCCTGAATGAAAGGAATCACACATTTATGCCATGACTACCTTCCTTACAGGATAGGACAGTGTTTCTGATTTATTTACATAGTATTACTTAAGACACATCTGGACCTAGTTAAATTTGAGAGCACCCCACTCACAAGGTTACATGCTAAAATGTAAACAAGATGAAGTTCAACTATATAGGTTTTCAGTATTCCCATTGTGTGCTATAAAGGAATCTGGGAACTGAACTGATACATTGGCGATGCAGTATTCTAGGCTCAACACAAACCACAACAAGCCAATGTGCACAAAAATTTAAGAAGCTAAGACACATCTGGATATGAAAAAGTTTAGCTTCAGGCACTCAATCCACTTTTCCACTTTCTGATTTTCATCTTATGCAAATTTGATTTAGTTGCCAGAATAGAGGCTTTCATTGGCATTCTACCGCTAGTGTTCTTATGTCTTGTATTAACTGACCATAAAGGTAAAGGTAAAGGTAGTCCCCTGACATTAAGTCCAGTCATGTCTGACTCTGGGGTGTGGTGCTCATATCCATTTCTAAGCCTTGTCCGTAGACACCTCCAAGGTCATGTGGCCGGCATGACTGCGCATAGTCTCGCTAATATTTTGTTGTGCTGGATGGCTCCTATATGTACCTTATGGCTCATCTGGTTTATTTGATAGTATATACTGTTAAACCCACACTGTCCTGTTTACCTCCAATATAAATCAGACATTCCCAGGCCCAGCATTTGCTATCATATCAGTGAGATTCTGCTAGCTGTTGTCATAATGTTGCAGAAATGCTGTCAGTTCTGAAAAGAATTTTGAGAGCGGAAAGCTCTTTTTTTGAATATGATTTATTCACATCAACTGGATTTGTCATTTTATAACTGTTGACTTCTACTCATTCTATTGCTCCCTGATTTGATTTTAGTTTTCATCAGGAAGTATCCTATTATCCTATATCACACCTGCCATTTGATTATGTGTGCTGATCTATTTTTCAGCTATATGTTTCTTTCCAGTGACTTCCTTTCCCAGTTCTCCACTAATCCAGAATCAGAAACCAACCATGTATATTATTCCTGAATTCATTTTATACTCCTTTTGCTGTTCAAAGCCCTAAACATTTAATTTGTTGTCACTTGTGAATATGTTATCATTAGAATGTCCTCAGTATGTCACCTATATAAAATCATATCATGATCAATACATTTTTCTTAAATGAAATTCATACATTGATTTTTCAACAAAAGGACTAGTCTGATTGTCATTATTAGCCATTGCCTCTGTGCAAATTGTTCAGCATGAACAAACATTATTGCATTTTGGAATATACAACTTTTGAGTGTCCTCTCTTTGTAAACCATAGAGATCAAAAGGTGGTAATTTTATTTTGTCAATTTTATCAAGCTGGGTGTTGTATACAATGCCTCAGTATCAAAGTCCTCCATAGGCATTGCATTGACATTAGTACATCTTACTCAGTAATAGTTTCATATGCCTTAAGAGGACCAGGATGTAGTTGCATGAAGTTGACAATGTAGTTGCCATAACTCATCTTATTGGCTGGACCGTCACAGGTTGGACTATCGCAAGATCTTTGGATCTGTATTTATTATGTTTCTTCACCTTATATGTTTTCAGTAGACATCTTCTTCTGGGTACATAAAGAAAATGCTGGCTAGGCTGGCTGGGTTTTATTGCTGTTTGATATGGATCTAGAACACCCTGTAGAACATATCAGGCTTGTTTTCCACCTTTGAATTGGTATCATTGAGAATATCTTCCACTATTACTGATAATCTCATCCATGAACTCCAGATCAGCTTCTGGAGAATTCCAGGACTCCTGCCATTATGGTTTAATAGCCTAATGGTCACATCAAGAAGCTTATCTCCTAGGCACTCTACTGGATACTATCCTCAGTTTGGCCTTCTTCAGTAATGGCAAAACACTTTTGACTTCTGGGAATATTAAGTATTTCATTTCCGATGCCAATTGGAAAACATCCCATTCACCATTCCAGTTTAATTTTGTTTGCAGCTTTTTGAAAAAGAGCTTCTATACAACAAAATTTCCCAAATGGCTATTATACAAAAAAAAGTTGAAGCTGTGTTTTCTATTGCAGGGTGATGCTGGAGTTACTGGTCGGAAGATCATTGTGGATACTTATGGTGGATGGGGAGCTCATGGAGGAGGAGCATTTTCAGGGAAAGATTACACAAAGGTTGACCGGTCAGCAGCATATGCAGCCCGCTGGGTTGCCAAATCCTTGGTGAAAGCAGGACTCTGCCGCCGTGTGCTGGTCCAAGTGAGTTCCATTGTGTCCTTCTCGCTCTTTATTGATTTTCCAGCTGTAAATTGTGATTTTTTATTTTTTATTTGTCGTGTCAGAGCAACCAGTCAATTATATTACATTTCTAACAGAACAAAGCAAACAAACAGACAAAATTCAACATTTGTGAGTTTGGTAGTTGATTAAATGTCCTTTGACCAGTATCTGGCCACTTGGAGTGCCTCTGGTGTTGCTGCAAGGAAGTCCTCCATGGTGCATGTGGCGGGGCTCAGGTTGCATTGCAGCAGGTGGTCAGTGTTTTGCTCCTCTCCACACTCGCATGTCGAGGATTCCACTTTGTAGCCCCATTTCTGAAGGTTGGCTCTGCATCTCGTGGTGCCAGAATGCAGTATGTTCAGTGCCTTCCAAGTCTCCCAGTCCTCTGTGTGCCCAGGGGTGGGTCTCTCATTTGGTATCAGCCATTGGTTGAGGTTCTGGGTTTGAGCCTGCCACTTTTGGACTCTTGCTTGCTGAGGTGTTCCAGCAAGTGTCTCTGTAGATCTTAGAAAACTATTTCTAGATTTAAGTCGTTGATGTGCTGGCTGATACCCAAACAGGGGATGAGCTGGAGATGTCTCTGCCTTGGTCCTTTCACTATTGGCTGCTACTTCCCGGCGGATGTTAGGTGGTGCAATACCAGCTAAGCAGTGTAATTTCTCCAGTGGTGTAGGGCACATTAAGAACCACATCCACTGTTTTAGTGTGGTGAGATGTGTTCCACACTGGGCATGCATACTCAGCAGTGAAGTAGCACAGCGCAAGGGCGAATGTCTTCACTGTATCTGGTTGTGATCCCCAGGTTGTGATATGTGTGGCTAAAACAAAGTCCACATCTCCTCTCCCTGAATGTCTAGTGATGGGCATCAAATAGTATCTGTTCACTGGAAGTAGCCTTGCAAAACATCATTGGAAACTTATAGCATAATAAGCCAGACATTTCTCCTATACTTTTATCAGGAGTAAGAATCTTTCGGCCAATGCATATTCTGTACTATATAATTCCCACAAATGTTCTATGTTTGGCTGGTAGGAGTTGTGAGTAAACACATCTGGGTGGCCAAAGTTTTTCCAGACTAAGGTTACTTTGGGTCTCAAACGAGAAAGAAAACCAGATAGTCAGGAGAAAAAGATGGAGAAAGAAATGGAGAAGTGTTACTTTTGATAGAATTAAAACCAATGCTGGGATTGCCTTTTCCTGTGTAAGCCCTGTATTTCCAAAAAGTAGTTCTGCTTTGGAGAAGACAGAGTAAAGGGGACTTTTAAACAGCCATATCTAATAGGTTAAAAATATGCAAAGCTGTATTGGATCAAGTCACCATATAATAGCATGGTGTCATCTGTTGTTGAATAGTAGCTCTTCAGTGTCTCAGACAGTGGCCTTTTTTACCTGGGATAATCACTCTTAACACTTATTTAGCATTTTTGGGAGTCTTCAGAGCTTTTTGAATTTTACTGTCTCAGTGGGTCTTGCCAATAATTCTTTAAAGAAGGCTATTATTATTATGTTTATGTTTATGTTTATGTTTGTTATGCTTATTAATACCCTGCTTTTTCTCTCCACAAGGAGACTCAAAGCAGTTTGACTTTCTCTATTCATTTTAATTTTTAATATTGGATCCTTCTTTCCCAATTTCACCACCACTTTGCATTTCAACACATCAAAATACTTCCGCTGTATACAGTTGGATTCTTTCTTGGTGAGACATATATACAGCATAAATGCAAACTGGGTCTAAATACAGTGTCTTTTGATCTATAGGTTGCCTATGCCATTGGTGTGGCTGAGCCACTTTCCGTCTCGCTATTCACTTATGGTACCTCCACAAGAACTGAGCAAGAGCTGCTGAACATTGTACACCAGAATTTTGACCTTCGTCCTGGAGCTATTGTCAAGTAAGTATTTCATAAAGACTTACCTGTGTGATAAATACCATCTAATTTCTTGTAAATACCCAAAAGTATCTATTACTGGGGATCTCCAATACCGAGAAGCTAAAACAGTGGATGTGTGTATAGATAGATAGATAGATAGATAGATAGATAGATAGATAGATAGATAGATAGATAGAGAGCCTACTTCCTACAGTAATGTCAAACTGGCATACATAGCTCCTCCCTATGTTTATCTTCACAATCATACTGTGAAGTAGGTTTTGTGGCTTAGTCAGGACTGGAACTTGGATTTCTCAGTCTGGCACTTTGAATACTTCATCAGATTGGCTATTGATGTCTTCCATTCTGGTTGCCTTCAGAAGCACTGTTCAGAATAATAATAATAATAATAATAATAATAATAATAATAATAATAATAATTTGGTTGAGGAGAATGGATAGCAAACTATTCCTCATCCAGTTGGGATGTGGCTATTCTGAACAGTGCTTTATGAGGATTTATGGGGAATATGAGGATTTAAAGATGAACTGCAAAGACTCTGGCACAAACCAATAAAGGTGGTCCCAGTGGGGAGCGGCACGCTGGGTGTAGTCCCTAAAGACCTTGGCCTGCACTTAAACACAATCAGCGCTGACAAGATTACCATCTGTCAGCTGCAAAAGGCTACCCTACTAGGATCTGCACGCATTATTTGCCGATACATCACACAATCCTAAACACTTGGGAAGTGTCCGACGTGTGATCCAATACAACAGCCAGCGGAGTGCTTTTGTTTGCTGTGGACTCATCTTGTTGTGTTTCAAATAATAATAATAATAATAATAATAATTATTATTATTATTATTATTATTATTATTTTGTATCCCGCTACCATCTCCCTAAGGGACTTGGAGCAGCTTACACACAATAACAGTGTAAACAATAAACAAAATCATTACAATAGAAACAAATTAAATCATCAATAAAAACAGCTAATCATTATAAGAACAGCAATGTATCAAATTAACAGAAACTATCCTTCATGACGTGCAAATGAACAATGATTATGTTATGTTGATGAATTTAAACATTCTAGCCACTGATATGGTTAAAGACAAAACCATTCCTTTCTCTTCCTCATCCGGGAAGATTTTGTGCTGCTTATATAGGTGCAGAATTTTGCTTTCTCTGAGAGCTCCAGAGTCTTGCTCAGAATTGATCTGGCAGTTTTTTTATAGCTCATGGAATTATGCCAGCAAGATAGTGAGTCCTGATTTCAAAGGGTAGACTATCCTAATGTTGAAATATAAGCTCTGAGCCAGGGAAATATATATGAGGAGCTACAACAGATCAACCATAAGACAGGCCTTCCTTTTTGGATGGAAACTGGAAGCTGGGGCATTCCAAGTCCACATAAGAAAACATTGCATTTGCAGGAAAAGTTCTTCTTTTCAGTTGAAAGGCCGAACAGGGTATAGGGTTACAGCCTGTGCTGGACGGGGTTACACTCCCCCTGAAGGCGCAGGTTCGCAGTTTGGGAGTTCTCCTAGATTCATCGCTGAGCCTGGAGCCCCAGGTTTCGGCGGTGGTCAGGGGAGCTTTTGCACAATTAAAATTTGGGAAGTCTGACTTGGCCACGGTGGTCCACGCTTTGGTTACATCCCATTTAGACTACTGCAATGCTCTCTACGTGGGGTTGCCTCTGAAGACTGCCCAGAAGCTGCAGCTAGTCCAACGCTCGGCAGCCAGACTACTAACGGGTGCTGGGTACAGGGAGCACACCACTCCGCTGTTACACCAGCTCCACTGGCTGCCAATTAGCTTCCGAGCACAATTCAAAGTGCTGGTGTTAACCTATAAAGCCTAAACGACTCCGGCCCTGTTTACCTCTCCGAACGTATTCTCCCCTATGAACCATCAAGATTATTAAGATCGTCTGGAGAGGCCCTGCTCTCGGTCCCACCGGCCTCGCAAGCGCATCTGGTGGGGACGAGGGACAGGGCCTTCTTGGTGGTGGCCCCTCGACTCTGGAACTCTCTCCCACTGGAGATCAGAACCGCCCCATCTATCCTGACATTTAGGAAACAGGTGAAGACCTGGTTATGGAGACAGGCATTCGACGAGTGAGCCAACACCCTGAGATATGGTTGGAGGATGATGAGCAACGATTTTAGTGTGACGACTGACCATTATAGTTATTTATAGTTATTGATTGTAATTGCTGTTTTAATGTTTTACTGTAATATGTATTATGATGTTGTATTGATTGTATGTGATATTATGGTTGGAAACTGATCTGAGTCCCTCAAGAGAGGTGAGAAGGCCGGTATACAAAATAAATAAATAAATAAATTCTTCTTTAATGTCACCCGTACTTTCCAGCAAACCCCCACAAATGACCAATATAATGATAGCATTATTCCCAGAAATAAACTGGTGCAAATTCACCCTATAGATTTCCCCATAAATATCTAGACCCGTTGCCTTGTGCATGGCAGCTGTTTTCTCTGACACATATGTGGCAACTAACTCACAAAGCAGGCATCTTTGGCTTTCAAAGCAGCTGCTTGCAACTGCTATAAAATATCTCTGCATGCCATGAAGGAAAAAAAAAGACATGTCATAATTTTATAGTCTAGCTATTACTGACTCTTTCTTTCTTTCTTTTACATTGAATTAGAGATCTGGATTTGAAGAAGCCAATCTATCAGAAGACTGCCTGTTACGGTCACTTTGGAAGAAGTGAATTTTCTTGGGAAGTACCCAAGAAACTGGCTTTTTAACTATCTTGAGCTCAAGCTCAAAAGGAATGGATTTCACTACAAAGGGTGCTTCCATTGACCATCATCTAAGTTTAGAAAATTGGGGAAAAAAAGGAAACTATCACGATTTGTATTCTCAGCATCACAATCTACAAAAAAATGAAAATGCAGGTGGATATTTTTTTCTCCTGTTGCTGCTAAATTTTTCAGTTCCACTTAGAAAGATGATTGAGAACTTGACCCCACAGTCAAACCATACAACACTGGACTACAAACAAGCTCGTCTCCTTTCTTATAATCAAATGAGAAACCAGATTTCCACAGATTCAGGAAACTTGTTCATTGTTCCTGGACAGTTATCAATTCCATGCACCGTTTTTTGTTCTGACCTGGTAGGCTCTTGATGTGGAGGAAGAGTATCGTTCTATAACCGAGTCTTATCTTATCCAAAGGATTTTATCAGGCTTTAAATATGCTTTGCCAGCTGTCTGCTATTATAGTATTTTTTTTTAAAGTAGAAGCGTGTAGCTTTCTCTTTTGTAATGGCATTGTGGCAGAAACATTCAGAGTGGTGCATGCCTGGTGCCTTCTGTATATATGCTTACATGATTGGTCAAATTGTTAGAGCCTCATCCCAGCAGGGCTACTTTTTTCTATACAAAGGGACAGGGGAGCAAAGGAAAATGGTTGCTTGCAAACCACGTACCCCCACTATTGGCTGAGCTGTGAGATTTCATAGTTGTGCATGGCATTCTAACATCAGAGTGCGAGGATGTTTTCAATAGAAATATTGAAATAGTGTGCCTTTTGTGAAGGAAGTGAAAAGTTAATTGTGGAGCTGGAAGAGAAATTACACATAACCTTGGAATAGAAGGGGCTGTGTGATGTTAGCCAAAAAAGGGGTAATACAAATAAGCAAGCAGGTGAACGCCTAGAAAGCAGAGTGGAAACAGGGTCTCTCTACAGACAAGATGGTTGAAGAAAATGATGCAGGCAAGACAATAAACTTTTTAAAAAGTACAGGATAAAGAAGCTGAGAGGCAAATACTTGACGGCACACTGCACTACTGCTTCTTAATCTTTCTGTTAGGCAGAATGCATAGTAGGGTTTCCCCCTTCAATGTGACACAGACTGGCATCATATTGACTACATCAGAAAATGCACAGAGCATCAGCAACCAACTGGTGGATTAATAGTGGTACATGGACCACCACTTTGAGAAGCACTGCACTAGGCCACTAAGGAGGAAACTGCCTTGCAGCATGGTGAAAAGGCCTGTTACTGGTGCCACCATTATGGGGAGGAGATCAATCAGGGTTTGCAGTTCTGCTGTCCCTTTGATGTTGTTGAACTGCAAGTCACAGCAGCCTTAGCTAGTGGGAAGCATAGCCTCTGATGTTTCACAAAGGAAAACCAAGACGTATGTGATCAAGGAACAACAGAGTGTGGTTAAGATGGCAAAAGTTATTAATCGGTAAGAACACCCAAGCAAGAAGAGATTGCTGTAATTTGCTTTTGTCTGAGGCTCCTTCCACACAGCTGAATAAAATCCCACATCTGCTTTGAACTGGAATATATGGCAGTATGGATTCAGATAATCCAGATCAAAGCAGATATGGTGGAATTGTCTGCCTTGATATTCTGGGATATAGGGCTGTGTGGAAGGGCACTGAGCCTACTGGGGAGGGCAAAATTGTACTCCCATTTCACCTCTTCCTTTCCTTAATTGAGTGCAAATTACTTTTGCAGATTGAGGCTTAGAGCATTTGAAGGAACCCAAGAACTAAGAAGAAAGAAACTGGGACATTTTAGAAGCAGCTGAAAAAGTGAAATGATAGGATTAATCGGGACTGCTCTTACCAAATTTTGGGACAGTTGGAGATTATAGGTAAAGAAATCTGGAAGTTACAGTTCACCAGCATTTGGGTGCTGCAGGGTTCATACTCCTGGGATAGATGAAGGCTGGGACTATGGTCCGAAAGAAGCATTAAAATCAAGGGAGAATTAGGGGTATTCCTGTTCCGGCGGGAAGATAATGGCGCTCCATGCAGTCATGCCGACCACATGACCTTGGAGGTGTCTACGCACAACTCCGGCTCTTCAACTTAGAAATGGAGATGAGCACCAATCCCCAGAGTCGGCCACGACTGGACTTAATGTCAGGGGAAAACTTTTACCTTTACTAGGGGTGTTTGGGTTCTGCTTTAGGTGGCATAACTGTCTTGTGTCAAAATCCAATGGATGCTGGGAGGAAAAGAACACATATAAGGCCTCATGAGAGGAACTTTGAATAGGTGACTGGGTCAGGGAGGTAAAGGAAAGGAAGTGATGGAGAGCTGGATTTCATATCACTTTGTAGTAATCAGCCAGTTTACAGCTCTGCATTTTCCTTTTAACAGAACCATTGCAAGGACAGAGGCTTGGCAAGCAAAGTTTCCCTTGCCACAACTGCATTTTTTAAAAAATGGGCTCAGGTTTGCCAGATGACATATGGATCAAGGATCGTGTCCTTTTAATAATTGTGTAGAAGAGGAAATTTCATCAAGTGTTGATTGTGAATCATGTTGCACATACAGTTCTACATAGATGTTAAAGGAAAAGGAGGTCTGTCCCTTATTTTACCTGATAACTCTTGTCAATATGAACTTAAAGGATTCTCATTCTGCTTGAAATTCAAAGGGAACGGAAGCCCTGTTTGGAATGGGGTGTGACATGTTTGTGTATCACAATATTCTTAACTCAGTAGTTTACTTTGCTATGAAAACATTACATGCATAGGATGGTGCTATATAATTTTTTTATTATTGATCATCGTTGGCTGATACATGTTCTAGCCTAAATCTAGTCACAGTATCTTGAGCATAATTTGCTAGCAGTGCTGTTTTTCAGTTATGGAAAATTGCCGGCCCACTCAGTGCCTTTGTGAATTCATCTTTTTGCATCAGGAGTGGATATGTGTATGTGTGTGTGTGTGTGTGTGTGTGTGTGTGTGTATATATAATACACACACATACATACATACACACACACACACAGGGAGCCCCCGGTAGCGCAGTGGGCATAAGCTTCCGCTGTCAGCCCCAGCTTCTGCCAACCTAGCAGTTTGAAACATGCAAATGTGAGTAGATCAATAGGTACTGCTCTGGCGGGAAGGTAAGGGTGCTCCATGCGATCATGCTGGCCACATGACCTTGGAGGTGTCTACGGACAACGCTGGCTCTTTGGCTTAGAAATAGAGATGAGCACCACACCCCAGACATGACTGGACTTAATGTCAGGGGAAAACCTTTACCTTTACCTATATACCCATACATCACTGGTTCTCAACCTGGGGTCCCTAGATGTTTTTGGCCTTCAGGAAATCCTAATAGCTGGTAAACTAGCTGGGGATTTCTGGGAGTTGTAGGCCAAAAACATCTGGGGACCCCAGGTTGAGAACCATTGCCATACATACATACATACACGTGCGCGCACACACATGGGATTTTAAATAGCCATTGGTGTGTCAAAATATACCAATTTGATTTGACCCTGGTTATTATTAGTTTCAAAACCATTTGGATTTTAAAATAGGCACTGGGACATCATCACTGACATACAAAACAGACAAGGAGAGTTCAACCACAACCTCCAGAAGAGATTTAAGAATTCTTCTATTTCTTTGTATGTAGCTCAACCATCCACTAGATGGTGGCATAATACACGCTTGACTTGTTTATGTAGTGAAAACCTCCAAAACATTAAGTAATTAATTAGGCGAAATTGTGTTCTGTTTTCTATTGCTACTCCTTTCACAAAGCGCAAGCAATAAAAAAAACTAAGCAGCTAACATTACAACTGAAAATGACAATATTCATTAATGAGTGATACTCAGTGAAGGTGAATAGAATTTTTATTTTTTAAATCAGGTTTGCCAATTGAGGTGAATTCATCATGATGTACCTCCCTGTTTGAACATTTTTTCTTATAAGAAGGGATGTCTTGTTTTTCCTATCCAATAGCATGATTTGGGAGAATTATTGATGTGATATTTCCTAGGGCAGCCTATTTTGGGCAGGGAAAAGGAAGAAGGCTCTGACATCTGTTTAGACTTTGGATTTTCGTTTGGCTCAATAGTGCCTTTTCGTTGTGGAATTCTAGTTTAGTCTGTGAAGGAAACTAAGGTTTTTTAAATGAATGTTTAACACTCTTTTAAGATTTTCTAGACATCTTTAAGGAGAAATTGTGAGAGATCATAAGAGCAATTCAAAGAAAAACAAGTTATAAAAAATGTAAATATGCCTATAAATGTATAATATGGATGAATGCGAACACAATCCTTCACCACCAACAGATTGCATCCATATCAACATATTAGATGCAAGTTAGATGTTTACCTGATTTCATTTTTAGTCACTGGCTGATCTTAAGTAATATCTTTCATGACCATGAGAGTCCCTTCATGGGAAGGCAAATGTTAATAACATTTTGACAAAAACTAAGTTGGAATTTCAGCAGGTGCAGCTTTTTTATATCCTCCATAAAAAGCTGCATCCACTCAAATCCCCTCTGTATTTAACAGGACAGACAATCCTGGCTTTCTTGGCATGTGGTCAAACTGCAATCTCTCCCTTAGTAACCACGTACTGGGGATTTCTTCTGTTAGTAAGTGGTGAAGTTTGCACAGCTGTATGTACTCATGATTTTTTTTCAAGTAGGTTTTATGTTGGATACAATTATGCTGTGGATGGCACTTAAGTCATTCTGAGACTCCTCCTAGCTTCTTAAAATTAAGGGAGAAAGATTCCTTTCAGCTAGAAAAGGATGAAATCGGTGGAGAGGCATCAGCTTGCCAAGCAGATGCATTGGGAAAATTGAACAGCAGAATCTTGCTAACAATGGGATTTAAATGAAGAAATTTTAAATATCTGAGGGCTCATCTACATAGGCCACAAATGCAGAATCAAGTGAGATGTTGCTCCTGGACATCCACATGTTGTTCAGGGACTTCAGGCTCCCAACATGGGAATAAAACCGGTTAACCTGCATTTACCTACTTTAGTAGAATTTGGGAAGTGTTTTGGTCTTTTGCCAAATCTTTTTTGTTCTGTACTTTGAGGTTGGTGTCAGTTTTTAATTTAAATCAGTTGTAATTTAAACCAGTCCACTGCCTATACCGGCCATTACCACCATCCTCTCTTCCCTGAACTCTGTGGCACAAGGAAAGGGAGATGACACTTACTTTTGTTTTCTTTTATTGCTTCAGCAGTCAGCTGTGAAGGTCCTGAGAGCGTGTGGCCATCACAGGGCACATTTGCTGTCTTAAAAAAAAAGAAATCAGCCCCTTTTCTCCCGAGATTATGGTGGTATCTTTGCTGATGTCAACAAAGGCACCTAGCAACA